ACACAGACACACAGACACAGACACACAGACACAGACACACAGACACGCACGCGCACACACAGACACAGACACAGACACACACACGCACACGCACACACAGACACGCACGTGCACACACAGACACAGACACAGACACACACACGCACACGCATGCACACACACACACAATGGCCAAGTGTGTAAACTATTGAAATATATAGTGTTTTTAATTCTTAAACGCACATTTCAAACAGTTGTATTAGTGACCAATATTAAATAATGTGCTCACAATATTGACATAAAGTGTACTAATCCATATATTACAGCTCCCACATGCAGAACGATCAACCTTTATCATTTGTATTTTATGGCAAGGAGAATATAACATAGGATTCAATTACAAAAATTCCCACCAGCAATGGCTAAGTGTGTAAACTATTGAAATATATAGTGTTTTTAATTCTTAAACGCACATTTCAAACAGTTGTATTAGTGACCAATATTAAATAATGTGCTCACAATATTGACATAAAGTGTACTAATCCATATATTACAGCTCCCACATGCAGAACGATCAACCTTTATCATTTGTATTTTATGGCAAGGAGAATATAACATAGGATTCAATTACAAAAATTCCCACCAGTTTCATGTGCAATGACCTACTGTAAAATATGGGGTAGTTCTGTACAGTAAAACATTAGTAAATGGCAGTCAATGGCTACCAGCAACTGTTCGGTCAGCAACATTCTTCAAAGTATCTTCTTTTGTGTTCAGCAGAAGAAAGCAACTCATACAGGTTTGGATAAATGATGACAGAACTTTCATTTTTGAGTGAACCATCTCTTTAAAGTTAAAAGTACGCTGAGAAGCTGACGGATGTTCTTCACAGCTAGTGAAATACATCCAATAAGATGTATCTGGTGAGGGTGGATCTTTGCAAACGGAGCCAGTGAAAATTCAGAGCAGAAAGTGCTCAGTGATCATTCATGATGAGAGTCGCGGCCAGCAGGACATTACCTGGAACGGACTCTGATTATTGCAGTTCTTCAGCTCCTTGTCGGCTCCTCTGACCAGCAGCACATGAGCACACTTCTCCTGCGGAAGTCACAAACACACCGTCAGTCTCTAAACAAGACAGAAAGACAATGCAACATCCCTCCAGCTTCAGAGAATAATGATGTTCAACCACTAGACTCAGACTTTAGTTTGAGACACGTCAACAGGATTTTCATTTGTATTTTTGATTTACTCTTTTCTTAATGATTTAAAGGCTGAAATATGAGGTTGAACATTTTATACAACTTGTATTGTCAAATCATGTATTGTTTGAATGGTAAAGTTGTTTGAATTATCATTTTTACCATCATGTTACACTTTAGTTGTTACCACAGATATTGGATTGTTTCAAAACCATGCTACCTGAACATTTAGCTTTATTGTAATATCAAAATTTCCCAAAATGCAGATTCCAATACATTTTAAAGAAGATTTTAAAGAGTATTATTTGTAAGTATTATATTTTTTTAAATACCTTTTTTTTTTTTTTTCAAAAACACATAAAAATGATCAAAAATGACAGTATGATGTTCAACCACTAGACTCAGACTTTAGTTTGAGACACGTCAACAGGATTTTCATTTGTATTTTTGATTTACTCTTTTCTTAATGATTTAAAGGCTGAAATATGAGGTTGAACATTTTATACAACTTGTATTGTCAAATCATGTATTGTTTGAACGGTAAAGTTGTTTGAATTATCATTTTTACCATCATGTTACACTTTAGTTGTTACCACAGATATTGGATTGTTTCAAAACCATGCTACTACCTGAACATTTAGCTTTATTGTAATATCAAAATTTCCCAAAATGCAGATTCCAATACATTTTAAAGAAGATTTTAAAGAGTATTATTTGTAAGTATTATATTTTTTTAAATACCTTTTTTTTTTTTTTTTGCAAAGACACATAAAACTGATCAAAAGTGACAGTAAAGTAATCGTACATGGTTACTTTCACAGCTCCACTCTCAGTGGTTTTGAAATAAACACTCTTTCATTTGTGTTTGAGCCTCATTCCTCCTGACTTACAGCCCCACTGAAACACAGACACAAATCCCGTAGTTAACGTGCCTCTAACCATATAAACAACTGCAATGCTGACGATCACACACCTGGTTGTAGAGAGCACAGATGTGCAGCGCCGTGTTTCCCGAGGCGTTCTGAGCGCTCATATCTGCTCCGTAAAACAAGAAGTGCTCGAGGTGCTGGACGTGACCGTGTCGACAAGCCTGTGAGAAACACACACACACATACACACACACACACACACACACACACACACACACACACACACACACACACACACACACACACACA